GGGCAGTGCTTTCCTTTGATTTTTCTAACTCTACCTGGAAAGCCTGCAGGCACACAGAACAAGCCTGTAGCACTCTACTTCACATCTCCTTCATGCTGGCTGACAAATCATGGGGGTCCTTTCAAACCTGCCCTAAGGCCTATTCCTTACCATTGCACTGACAAACATCTAACTGAAAACGCAAATAAGAAATACTTTAATATTCCCTCACAATAGAAGATGCTTAAACTGGATAAGCAATAGTGACAGCTTAGCCTAACTTGCTTATCATGTAAAACAGCTTCACCTGGAGCTTTATAGGTGACATGGTTCAATGTTTACTACAATTAACACCACAATTGTTCTTACTTTATAAACCCTTTTTCTCTGAGCCTTGAAACTGAGCCAACTGAGATGGTTTTAAGAAAGAATTGGTGAACTGAACAATCTAGAAGATTTAAAAATAATTATGATCTTTACTGATTGAGGATCCATTTTACTGCCATTTAAAACTTACAAGTTCATAAAAGTACTGGCATTTCAAGAATTGTTTTCTCTAACATTGTAAACAACTTTGTTCTTTCACTATTAGGGAAAATAGAAATATACCTAATATTTTGGTCCAAAACATGTGGTCAACTTTTTTTTTCCCCTCTGCAAAATGTATTTCCTAACACAGATGGGGAATCCTGCTGTGGGAATACAGCCTTGGACTGCCCGCTACCCTCATCTCCAGGACCGGCACAAATGTTGCAAAAGCAGACATTGTCTTTGCAGCTTCAGAAGTGTGGTATTCACAGCAAGAGTAAAGGTCTCTTAGATAACTTGGGAAAAATCTTGGGAGCTCCAGAAAATGTTGGATAGCACAGTAAGCAGGAATTGTTCATCCTATGCACAGAAAAAGGCAGAGACCATCTGGTAAATGAGTAGTCAGTTATACCACTAAGGACAGTTTTAACGTGTATGAAGACTTGCAGAAAATTCAATCTGCAAAATATGTCTAATTCTGGCACAAGCCAGGTTTCAAGTAAACAGGTGTATAATCTCAGTTATGCCCATTTAACACAGTTGTCACGCATTGTTTCCTCACCTTTTAAAGAGTGAATTGGTCTGTCACACCACTGGCTCCTCACCATCGTCCTGCACTTCTCACCTCCCCAAACCCCCTCTCAGAACTTCAGGTCAGGGCTGCCAGGCCCTCTCTCCTTGCTCAGGGAGCCCCAGTTCCTCTTTGCCAAAGCTCCCATGCCCAGCTCAGCCCTCCAGTCCTCTCTGAACACTCTTTTCCCCATCTTTCCCAAACAGCTGCTTCAGCTTCTCAGCCAATCTTAGAATCCTCTAACCTACTGCTCAGGAAGCTCCAGTTCTTCCCTTCCCAGTTATCTATATTAAAATTGTTTTCTTCACTTTAGTACCCAAACTACAGGTCACAGGCAGTGATCCACAAGTTTGGCTCTCCTCCCTTCTTCTTTAGCCTCAGTTTTCACCTCAATCCACTGGTTTCCAGCCACCCAATGACATTTTGTTTTGCAGTTCCTAAACCTCCTCCCTTTGTCTGCTCATCCGCCTGAAGACTTCCGATTCCCATCCAGTATGCCAGTCCTCAGCCTAGTTTATGACCTAAATTTCCCAGTCCAAATATAGTTGCATTACAAAAACCATGAAGGATCTTAAGAATCTAGCTCTTCTCTTCTGCAGTTGAATCTCCATCTACAACGGTTCTTCACTATGCCTGTGTTTCACATGGGTGTCTACTGGGTGCGCCTGAGTGTTGTCTGGGTGATCATCAGCTTTCTCTGCTCACAGTATCCCTGTCCCCCCATAGGAAGGAGGCAGGAGCATTCCAAGGCAGTGGTTTCTCTGGCCATTACCAGAAACATGCAGAAAAATAATTTTGCCTTGTTCCCTCCCTGAAAACAATCAGATTACGTTTTTACAAATCAAGGAAAAAATACCTTAAAGCAGACTAAATAAGATCAGACCCAAATACTCTAAGTCACAGGCATTCAGTAATAATGGATACTCTTCCCAGAGCTCTTAATCCAGCAGCTGGTCCATGTGTCTGTTGGAATTGTAAAATGAAAGGGCTCTCTTCATTCTGTATGCATCTATATGTTCCAACCATATACACGTATCAATCCTTTTCATTTTGGAGGGAGATTAGCTTTAAAAGGCAAACTTTTGGCCCTTTTAAGAGCATATGACTATAGTTTTTCCTACATGTTCAGATAATTCACGATTTTCAGACTAGTTTCTTAAAACCAATGTCAGCAGCTTGTACAGTCTCAGATTCAGTGAACAGCTGCTCCTGCAGCTCAGGCCCAGGCTGCTCCTCACAGCTGAGCAGTTGTTAATATTTATTTGCAGAATCTGTGAAAAGATACGGGTTCTCCATAGAGAACGAAATGGAGAACAAACTATTCCCCTCTTAGGAGAACTCATTATTACTGCATCCAAATTCTCACTCTAATATTTCCACCCTTCATCCCTCCAAGGCCAAATTTAGCATTGTATCTTTGGCCAAACAGACTTTGTATGTGGCTTAAAAGGACAGCTGAAAAATCATCAGGTCTGAGGAGTTTCTGAAAGGTAGAAAGTGAGTAATTTGAGGGAAGAATAAATTTTTGTAGGAGGTGTTTAAAGTAATTAATTGTATTTTATCAATTAATTGTATTGACAAATGCATTTTATCAATTAATCAATCTGGTTCAAGGTGTCCCTACCCATGACAGGGGGGGTGGAACTAGCTGGTCCCTTCTAATTCTAATCGTACCACAATTCTGTGAATTAAGGAAATAATGTATTACAATGCAAGGAAGATTGATGGGGATCTATGTGCTAGATTCCTTTTGGTGGTACTCATGAAGAAATCCCTTGGTTATAGGGACTCTGAGTGCATGCTGGTTTACACGCTAAGAGAGATTAATGAAAATAAAAAGAATTTGTGGATCTACTTATAGCAGCTTTGAAGGCTTGATCCAGATGGTGAGACCCCCTCTCCCTCTTCATCCTAGCAGATCTCTTCTCTCCTCCCCCATGCGTAGCAGAAGCCAAAAATTCCCAAATCCACTCAAACAAATACTTTTCTGGAGCTTCTGCTCCAGAGGTTAAAGAGGGGGGGAGAAGTGTGAAAGGAGCTGGGGATATCATTCAATAATGTGATCAGGGTTGCTGAGGCTGGCACCAGCTGGCTCTGGGTCCAGGTGTTACTGCTGGGATGGCTGCCTGTTCCATGCATGGTCACTGCTTCCCAGCCCATTCCCATGGGCAGAAACACGACCTTCCAGCTCAGGCTGGAAGCGGGCACGTTCAGCAGCAATCAGACCTCTTCCCAAGTTCAAGCATTTTCTCTCTTCCTCTATGAAAAACTAAGGCTGTTCTCCACACTGGTTCCAGCCACAAGCCATGCTGACACAGTTACACTCTATGTCATGAAACCTGCTTACAGTAATTCAGTCAAGCTTAACAAAGCATAAACCAGCAGTTTTTTTCCTGCAAAATTTAGCAAGTTTTTTCATTCGTTTATGAAATACATGCTCGATTTACCTTCATTCACTACCTCAGAAATCCACACAGACATGAAATTATCGCTATTATTAAATATTGTTATCAATAATAGTATTTCGACAGTTAAAAACAAAATAATTTAAGTGAAAGCTACAATTTGTCAGATTATTATGATGACAGAGAATCTATTATTGTTTATATAGTATGATTTAAATGTTTTGTATGTTATGTGTAAAAAAAAAAAATATTGTTTGCATATTATTCTGTATACCATCTTTCCTACGCTGAATTTCATTAAATAAACACTGTGTTGCTACTTCCCATATATTGATTGAGTCTATTTTACTCAAGGTTGCTCCTAAGAACAAAATCATGAACACCCTGAAGTTTTTCTACTCATCAGGAAGACTAAGGGGATCAAGGTTTCATCACGGTTGTTTCCTGTAAGGGCATGTCTACTTTCACCTGGGTAAAATTTCCTTCCACTGTCTTGCTCCTTCTTTATTAGATCATGGTTGCTGGTATTGACAGATGAAAACTCAGTTATTTCACTAACTTTAATTCATTACTTGCTTCAGAACCAATTTGATAGCAATATTAATAACAAATAGTAGCAAATTTTCTAATCCCAATCCACAACAGCAGACGATCATCATGAAAATTAGTAAAGGTGCACTAGCATAACAATAACTGGGAAAAGTTATAACTATTGTACTTTAGACCAACAACACACATGAAAGTAAGCAAGCTAATATTACTAATTTGATTTAGTTTAAACTGATGGTCCCCAGTGCTTTCATATTTAAGTTATAGGTTACCTTTGGGATAGGTTGGGAATCATTTCAATTAATCTTAGCTTTTTTTTCTGACAGTGGAGTATCTCCAACATCATGAATCCTAAAAAAGCACTAAAACCGAAAAGCGCCACAACCCCACAGCAAAAAGAAACCTCCATTGGTATAAACCACATCAATAATTTAAAACTTGAATGGGTTAACTTAATACACACAACTTTTTTCACAGATCATATGCTCTTTAACCTACAGCAGCCAGCATGAAACTGGGATAAGCTCTGTACCATGTGCTCCAGTTAATTCAACAGAAATGCGGTCACGCGCCCACCCTTGATCCAGATCAAAGATGTACAAGTGATCCAGGAGTACATGAATCTGTATTAATGGACATGAAGCCAGGGCCTTATATGACAGCCCAGCTTCAGGTACTTTGCAGATTTAATTAATAGGTTTTTCATTAGGCATATTTTTTCCTTTAACACATCCAAACACTTCTAGTAGCTGCAATGTTGTTTTCCACGTAAATCATCAAATTTAGATTTAAGTAAATGAAACACAAAATCAGAAAAAAAACAATTGCCATCACAACAAACTTGAGTCACCTGTGAAGGGCTATAAATATGTTGTTACAATTAATGTAATAGGTAAAATAAACATACACTGGAAGGGAAATTAAACCACATCTACATATTGAAACAGTCAAAAAATTAGAAATCTTACCTTTTTCACTAACACTTTCACTTTCAATCTCTACATCATCACAACTTGTATACTCTGGAGTGGACGCCAATTCTTCTTCTGAACTACTTAATGAAACCTGGCGCATTTTACCTCCCTTTTTCGTTTTATGGGGCTTTGGTGGTGGAGGTCTGACAGATTCAGACTGGTCTGAGCTGAGCGAATCATTCCGTAACATGGTCTCCATCTTTTCACGTTTTGTTTTCCGTACAGCAGAATTGGGATCCAAATGGTGTTGTTTCCTTAATGAATCAGAGCGCCTCATGTCTGGTCTTTCCAGAGGAATTGGACTCCTCCTAGGTGTAGGAGGACTATGATTTGTGGTCCTCTGGCGATTGGGACTTGGTCCCTGAGCCTCTCGAGTTCTTTCCATAGAGTATGAGCGCTGATTTTCCATGGCAGCCCTACGCTCAGACACTGATCTTTGTCTTGATGGTCGTTCCATCCTCAGCATAGACATCCGAGAATCTTCCAACTCAGTATTTGCCAATGAGACATCACTATGTCTCCGTTCATGACGTGCCCGGGACACTTCAGCATGGATACGCATTTGTTCCTCATACGGTTGCGGCTTGACTGGATAACGAGCCAAATTTGGATCGCTTCGGTACCGTGCCTGGTATTCCTCTTCCCTCCGCTGCCTTTCATATTCTTCCCTGTTTTGTACATCTTCCTCTTCTACCGGATACTCCTTGGAACGCCTGCGACTCCTTCTGTTGGAATCTCTATAATCACCCAGTTCAGGCTCTTCATATAACTGAGGCCCACGCTGCGACCGCCTATCGGAATAATCTGATGGTGACCTGGGCATCGCACTGTCTGATGTAGCATACTGTGAGTATTCGTCTCTCTCGTCCCTTTGGTCGTATCTTCTGTTCTGTTCTCTTGATATTGATGGGCTTCTTTTCCTAATTAATCATGACAAGAAAGAAGAAAGAGAATTCTGTAAATATTTCTCGTAGCACAAATATACAATTAACGGTAATTAAATGATAGAATAATCAGCTGATGGAAAAAAAAAATTAATCTGTTCATTGCATTTCTTCGTAAATGTGCTTGCACATTTTCTGTACTAAATTAAAGAAATAACATTGTGCTACAAATCTACTTATGGTGCACAGTTTAAATCAAAAACAGCTTTAAAGGAAAAACACTAATACAACATTATAAAATACAGAATACAAATACTTACACTACTTTGTAGTCATAACTATAAGTACCAAAAGTTTATAATCCTTTGTAATCATTTTATAGCAATACAATTTGACCATATACTTGTATTTCATAGGGTTTTATAATCACCATAGAAATTAAAGGTAGATGAATCATTCAGTTAGTTTGATCTTTTAGCAGCCTTTATTGCTTAAAAATCATACATTTCAGTTCCCACAAAACTATAGTGTGAGCCAAGGGCAGAAAACAGGACAAAGATCCAATGGCAGCAGTTGTCTAAATCAGATGAACTCAGAAGACAAAACAATTTTTGTGTTGCATAAGAATGGAAAGAGCTTCAAAGTCCTGCCTGTCTACCTTGAAAAAAAAATATCTTTCCCATCCTTATAGGGATGGAAATAGTGTTAGTCCAAGCATTTGAGCAAAACACACCAGCCAGGTACAGAATGGAGTTCTTGTACCACATTAAGCACTGACTGTTTGTCATAGACTACATCTAGCCATAGACAACTTCTGAGGCTTCAGAGGAAGGTGGAAAAAAAATTATCAACAGATATTCCTTCCTGACACGAGTCACTGAAGCATGTGATTTTATTATACGTAATATTTTATTAGAGGGTGTGTCTGGAATATATTATGAATGTTATATGTTCTGTTTGTTTGATACAACATTATTTGCTACTTGATTAGAAGGGATCAATTAAATAGGGAGTAGTGATTCATAGAGAAAAACCAAACTGGAGCTTCAGATCCTGCCTTTATCAATCCTAACAGGGTAACAAGCATTTAAAATGCTACTTCCAGACACGTCCAGATTTGTACTTAGTTTTTCACCCCAGATGGATATGAAGGAGTTACCTGCAGGAAATTGGAGCAAAGATACCAGATGTGGTTAAAGAGACTGAGAGATGGGCCTTCACTGGGGTAAGAGGGATCAGCTCAAGCTTTAAGTAATGAAAATATGCATGTGAACCTATTTGTGTTATCAGCCCCTTCCTTTTATATTTAGTTCAATCTTTATAATTAAGATCCCTTTGTAAATGTTTTCTACCCTTATAAATGGTCACTGATCCTGAAGGACAGCCTTGCAAGCAGCAACCAGGAGATCCTGCCTAGTGTAAGGAAAGACAGGAAAAAGGAGAGCAAAGACGCAGCCAGCCCTGTTGTTGCCACAGTCGTCCTGGAAGGGATAAGGGAACAAAAGGCTTCAACTTAATGAAGGGGAGAAGGCTCTCCTTGGTTCCCAGGAAAGTAGAAAGGGCTCTGCCTTGCTACTAAGAAAGAAAATGCTCTTCTCACAGCCAGAAAGGAAATGTGGTCTCTTCTCAGCATGGGGAAACCACAACCATCTGAGCAGACTGTGGGCAGAGGGGTGACTGGCAAACTGGCATCCTGCCTTAGGTACCATACAGGATCATTAAACTGTGCTTGAAAGATTTGGACCCAGTCTTGCCTTGTAAATATTAAAGTACTTTAGCCTTACAATGGCATCTGCGAATGAGGAAACTAATTCAATCTTGCAAAAATGCAACTCTTCCTGTGAAGCCTGACAAGTAATATAAGCATCACTTGGATGCCTATTTGCTTATGGTGAAGCTAAGATGTCCTGTCTGTCTCACTAAAGCGTAATGTTAGTACCAGCACAAATCATAACCTCTGTAAGTTCAACAAAAACTTTATGGATTCTGCTTCTGGGGACTCAAGTTGAATCACTCTAATATGACACGAACAGAGTTTCCTAAGTCTGAAGCCAGAATAGCCAGTGGGAACAGACAATTAGGACAACGGAACTACCAGAACCCAGGCACTCTGCAAAGACACATATGTTTTCATTAAGACAAGATAATTATTTTTCATTTAAATACTTCAGCGGATGAAAAATATGCCACATCCTAAAATAAGTTGTTCCAGTAGCAAATTACGTACATCGCTGAAAATTTCTGCCATGCCTACAATAAAACCATGTCTAATTTCCCCAATACAGGCAAAATCTTTCTCCCTACGCCAATCCAATTGGAATAAATGGCATTCAACAGATTGGCATTCATCCATGGGGATGGGGCTTCATTGCAAGACTGAGTCAAATATATGTGCGCATGGAATGTATACATACTCTATTGTTAATATACTGTGTATAATCAGTCTACAAAAGGGTCTTATTAGAAGTTGAAGAGGGCTTATAAGTAGCCTTAAAGGGTCTTATAGGAAAGATGAAGACAGACATTTTAGGAGAGGCTGTTGTAACAGGACAAGGGGTAGTGGTTTTAAACTAAAAAGTGGTAGCTTTAAGTTAGATATAAGGAAGAATTTCTTTACAATGAGGGTGGTGAAACACTGAAACAGATGGAACAGAAACCATCTACCACCAGAGAGGTGGTAGATGCCCCATCCATGAAAACATTCAAGCTCAGGTTGGACAGGGCTCTGAGCAACCTGATCTAGTTGAAGATGTCCCTGCTCACTGCAGGGGAGGTTGGGCTAGGTGACCTTTAAAGGTCGCTTCCAATCCAAACCATTCTGTGATTATATGAATCTATGATTCTATATTACATATGGATAAAGTTGTATTCACAGCCACAGCATTTTGCATAGATTTGATCCTGCAATACATCAAAATGCTCTAGTGTGTATGGTTTACTCCATCACGAAGTGTGTAACACATGAAGCCATACAGAATCTAGTTCGATAGTTTTCACACACGGCTCGGAGCAAAGTATACACATTCTACAGGATTAAACATCTGCACATGTGTATCTATAGTAATATAAACAGAATTCTAAGAATTGTTTTTGCTATATATAGACACAGACAAATAGATGTGTGTGTGTGTGTGTATATATGTATATACATATGACTCCATGTCACAGTGTCCTCATTTGGGTGCAAAGAATAGTGGACAAATCTATTCTGGAAACATCGCTGCTACAAAGTCATGGGGGGGAGAGGCTGAGGGGATAAAAAAGATGGAATTTCTACATGAGTAAAAACACTTATTGTAGACTTTTAGCTGAGGCAAATATACTTCTATCAGGAAATCACATCATCTGAGGAACTGGCACAAGATCTACTAAAAACCCACCCTTTTTTCTAGCATGAACTATGTTAATGAGAGGAGCATTATATTTTTATACCTCTTACACAAACACTTCTAACCTTGTCTGTTATATTTACCATAAGCAGTCACTGCCCTTCCTCCATTTGGTTGATAACACATAAATATAAGAACACCATCTATGGCTGACAGTAGTGTAAAGATCAGATGGGTCCTTAATCTATTCCAAGCTTCCACGAAGGCAAAAACTTTTCACAGGTGCCCTGCATGCGGCAAGTTCTAGATCATGCAAGAAAAAGGACCTTTCTGAAATGCAGCCTTTTCCTTCAGAGAAAGCAGCCTAATAGATAGAAGTAACTAATTTAATTCCTGGCCTATGTTGATTGGCACTATCAAACTCCCTTTCTAATTAATTTCATCCCTGCTGAAGGGATCTAACTTCCCAACCAGGATCAAATGCCAGAAGTTGTAATCCCATCCATCAGAAATAAATTAACTGTACCTGTACACCTGATCAGCCAGAAACTGCTGGCAGGAGAGGGCTCATCCTGCCCAGCAATCACCACGCCACTTAGCACTCAAGCCCAGCATTCTCTTTACTGGTTGTCACTAAACAATTAGCCCCTCTTTACTGTAAGTCTTTTTTTTTTTCTTTTTTTTCATTTTAAAAATACCTGCTATAAACACAGTTGTTCAATGTGTGCTATACATTTTAAACCAGCGTTATTAAATAATGGTAGAAAGAATAGTAGTCATCAAAACTTACCACCAGTCATGACTATTAACAATCTGCTGTTATTTTTAGATCAGAAGCTAATTCTCACTCACCTTCACGAGCCTTCATCTAATCCATTTCTCACCATTAACTACCTTAAAGATACCTTAATAAAAGCCTTTCCTCCTCTACCTCCAGCTAGATACACCATGGAAAAATGACTACTCATTCCTTTCCAGAACTTTCCTGGAACATTAAAAGTTAGGAGAACTTTAAATGTGTTTCAACAGCCGTGACATGCACCCCCAGCTGCCAGCTCAACTAAGCACTATATATCTCTTGTCAGAAGGATTACCACCTTCTCTGTAAAGGTTACCACACCATTGAAAAATGCTCCAGGCCATTATGATTACTGCTTCTTTGAAACAATAATAAAATAAATCTCTACTATGGTTAGAAAACTCAAACACCTGCACAAATCTCTTCATCAAGTACATTCTATAAATATTTTTTCAGATATAGAAACTGAAACTTCTTTTCTACCAATTATCACTAATTATCTTTATTTTATTGCCATTTATCAATACATGACATTCGGTCTTTTAACACACGTGTCTGAACCCTACACTGATGGGAACTTTATTTGCAGTGCACTACAGGTATCACTAGTACTATGAAAAAGCAAATAGCTTGACTGTAACCTGACCTCCTGCTCATAAAGTTAAATTATTCAACTCCCCCACATTACAGTCAGCAGTAAGTACTTAAAATATGGCATAGAAGAATATAAGCTATTCTGGTTTGACGGCTCTGACTTCAGAAATTGAACTAAATAGCTTGAAAGTCTTTAACTTTAATTTGTATTCTTCCTCAAAGAGAAAACACTCTTCTGCTTTGATTTAGATTTTTAAAAAATTAATCCAAGCACTGAGGAAAAGTAAATTTTAAATGGTAAGTTTCCATCACAT